GTTCATTTGTCACAATCATTAAACATTAATCATAAAACAATATCACATAATACTAAGTAATAAACATAATTAAAATTAAAAAATATAACATACAGTTAATCCCATTTACATCCAATCAGTATTTACAAATTATTTTGATTAAAAAACTCCTCTAATGAATAAAATGACCACGAGCAAAGATATCTCTTTAATGCTGGTTTAAACAATTCAATTTTATATGATAATGATTTTATATTTATAGGAAGATGGTTAAATATCCTCATTCCAATAGCGTATGTCCCTTCATTATATATTGTTAATCTAGCAGATGGAAAATGAAGGTCAGTATTGTGCCTAGTATTTAGACCATGAATTTCTTGATTAGTTTTATAAAGATGCTTATTTCTCACAACAAATATCATCAAAGAAAATATATATTGAGAATAAAATGGTAAAATTTCCCAATCTTTAAAAAGTTGTCTACAAGAGTCTCTACATCTAGTCTTAGCCATAATACGGAGTATTCATTTTTGCATCTTAAAAACACTAAGACTATGTGGTGAATTACCCCATAATAAAATACCATAAGATAATAATGAATGAACATATGCAAAATATATCATTCTTAGAGTATTCTCCGTCATAAGGGGCGTGACAATCCTGATAGCATAACAAGCTATCATGCATTATGAGGTAGGCCATGCCATGTGAACAAGCCTGGTTCTGATAGCAGCCCAAAGAATTTTATGCTGCTGGTTTTCAGGGGCTTGTGAAACGATGGGACAAGTGCCTCAATGTACAGGGAGATTATGTTGAGAAATAAGAGCATTTTTCAAATCAGTACTCCTAATTTAAGTTCTATATCCATTTGTAACTTACTTATTGACTTACCTACGCACGTATATTACTGACATGAATTACTGGTGATAGTTCCTGTGGTGTAAGTGTTTGTTTACACACACACATATTCTCTCCAATGGATACTGGGGTTAAAGTGGCCGAGGGCTGAAGCCTACCACTCACCTCCAACTAGTGCCCAGGTCAAAAATTCATGGATCTATACATCCACTGCTCCATATGCCTTCATGGTTAAGCACAGGGACAACCTTAGAATTGTGTTTATGCAACGTACAAGAAGATTTTTCCTAATACTAATCACAAATTGTATACACACTATACTACTGACATGCATTACTGGTGACAGTTTGTGTAGCCTAATTTTGTGTATACACACACACACAAGAAAATTTCTTCCTGAAAAGGGAAGGAAAGTCGCAGTTTTTATGCTTCTCCAAGTGTACATATCAAAATTCCAGACTTTACACTAACTGGTAAGAGAAAGATCAAATTGCTTAGGACAAATTTTAAAACAACTATACTCACACTGACGTTTAGTAATTTATTTTGCTTCTTGTTAAATAAACTGAAGGAACTATTATAACAAAACTCACCGTACTTTCCATCTTCACTGCGCATAATGACAGCGGCAATGGTAGGAGTTTGTGGTTTACATCTATTTCATGATTTTCACTGGGTGAAGAAAATGGGCACGTCTTTTGTTCTCAAGCAGTTTTTATTTTGACTTCAGGTACACTGTACTATAAACAATACGTTTGTAACCTCTACTGAATATACATGCCACCAATCCCTCCGTATTAATAACCCTCTTTATTTGTCATTAATATAGTCTAGGTTTATATACAACTGCTAAGTCTGTCACAAATTATTCTATTCTGATCCCGCTAACATTACACTGAAGAGCAATTTATTTAGTGTTATACACCCCAACACAAACTGAAACTCTCTCTAGCATGGCAAACACATTATTATGTTGTGGTCAATATTACAAAAATTTTACACAACATATTCCAAGGTATTAGGATCAAGAAGGGTGTGAAATACTATCGCATTTTATGGGGTGAGCAAGTATTGACGTTTATATGCTGTAGTTTACTAACAAACTAATGTTATCAGTGGTAAGGTGCATGTATAGAGAATTCCCTTAAATTATGAGAGCCTCGACAGTCTACGAGGTGCAAATTATGAAGTTGACACGAATAAAGGTGATGTGACCATAATCTTTTTTTTAATGATCAGGGTGATACATATGTGGTTGTCTGGTTATGGAAACCACGAGTGAAAATCAGCAGATCACGGTGTTATTACATTGTTATTGGAACATTAGAAAAATAATAATAATTATACACATAATTCCATGCGGTTAAATTGCCTTTTGGGGGTAGCAAAATGGCGGAGTTTTATGTGGTTATGAGCTGATGTTGCTTCCAATGTATAGTGTGGAAGCTTGGTCCCTATAGTGTTTGTAATACTAAGTAACTGAAGTAACAGAGATTCATAGAAGAATCTATATATCTATTAAAGCAAGAAAATAAATGTAGTAACAATGGCCTCATATACTAAATAAAGCAAGCAACGTTCTGTATTCATATTTCTTTTCACTGTTCAGTGTAGTTGTAGTTGAGAGAATACTATATAAATGTACTGTGGTCCAATGGCCCTTACTTTATGCCTGTCATTTTGCATGAAATAAGTAACGTAACTGCAGAGGAAATGCCTTTTACCAAGAATATGCAATGGACATTTACAAAAGGAGCCTCTCGGCAGTTGCATTAGTTGCTCCTGGCAGGATCCCTGAATGCAATTCTCAGTGCTTCATATATTCCCCTCTTCTTCCTGTAGATCAATACGTTTTGTTCTATGAAACTTTCAGACTGAGTTCTTGAAATTCTGTCCCATTTCTTTCATAGTATTCTGTAAAAGTTATTTGTAATTTTTGAATATATGTAAAAGATTGAAAAAGATCCCATTTTGAAACCTCTCACATATATTAAAGCACTTGATAAAATAAAGCACATTTTAAACAATATGTAACAATGTATGGGATATCAAATTTATGGAGCTGTCACTATTCATATACTCTTCATAAGACTGATTTGTTTCGGTACTAATGATGAAAATTTACATTTCAGATATTAATAAAGAAGTCCAACAGTTAGTTGCCGTTCTATTCATGTATCCTAATTAATAAAATTAAAACTTTAAGAATAAGCTTAGTGGAACAAAAAGTTCAGTATGGACGTAATTAAAGTGGAGCACGAATCTAATATTGATACTCAGCCCATGCCTTCAGCAAGTGAGGGTCAAGCTGCTGCTGTCAAAGTGGAGGATCCACTGGAACCATTTACATTTGTTGCAGTGAAACAAGAAGTGGTAAGTACTTTGTGGTTCTATATAGATACTATTATAAAGAACAGAAACATGTGAGTATTTTGACATAATGTTCAGGAAACTTCACAAAATTTTTATCAGGGAACCACATGAAGAAGCATTACTTGGCAATATGAAACACATATACTAAAATGTATGTTACAAAAGTAGACTTTGGGGATATAAACACAAAGGGTAGGATTTTGAGATGAGGATGCAACTTTCATTGAATGTGTTAACTGACGTCTCTTCTCTTTTAGGAAGAGTCATGGGATGATGATGAAGCCAAGGATGATCTTAAAAGTGAAACTACAATGGACGAACCAGATATTGGTCCTGAAAGGTATGTAGTTTGATGTGCACATACACATTTTCTGGATTTAAGAATTACCCCAATATATTCTGCCATTTTATGAGACTATTTACAAAATTGCTGTATTGTGGCTCCAAAAAAGTCACTATTTAAAAGGAATACTTTTCTTTTCAGTACGGATCGTGTAGTTATGTTACAGGAAGATGATGCTGCTGGAGGCAGCTCCACTCAGTTGGTTGCAACAAACTTCAGTGTCCCTAAGAACACGGGTTTCCTAAGCAACATCTTAATATCTGAATATAGGAGAAATATGAAGACTGGAGTAAAACTCTATAAGTATTTAATATCAGATAAAGGAGAGAAACGTTACTTTTGTGAACTGTGTGGCAGAACTTACTTACGTATTGGCGACCTTATAAAGCATGGCCGCACCCATTCAGGACTGAGACCATATACCTGTGATATATGTAACAAAAGTTTCTCAAAGAAAGACGTTCTCCGAGAACATTATCGTACCCACTCTGGAGTGAAACCATACAAATGCGACCTATGTGATAAATGTTTTACCAAAAGTGGAAATCTTGCCATACATCGACTGATCCACACAGGAGAGAAGACATATACTTGTGATGTATGTAATAAAAAATTCTTGTTGAAAGGTGTCCTGAAATTACATTATCGTATCCATACTGGTGAGAAACCATACAGATGTGACATATGTAATAAAGCGTTTTCTAGAAGTGGACATCTTGCATCTCATCAACAGACTCATAATAAGGAAAAGCAGTACATCTGTAAAGTGTGTAACAAAGAGTTTTCACAGAAGCACAACCTACAGAGACATTCTCGCACTCATATAGCAAATGAATCACAAAGCTCTGTCACAGTTAATGAATAATTGAAAGCATTTTATTTTGTTTTGGCAGTTGTGATGTATTCAGTAAATATTCTTGATTTACTTCTGATCGTTATATGTAGCAAACATGGTTCTGAGATGTATTGATAAATATATTCTCCAAAATGCAGGTTGTACATAATATTATTTCATTTGAAAAATGCTTCTGTTTTAAGTTGGGTAATGAGCAGATATGAGGTGTGCTGTCTGTGAATATGGATTACAATGAGAATTCTGTGGATGTGGAAATGGCCATAGGGACTCTGATGTGAATGTCATGGCATGCTGATAGTTGTGAACATTTTCTTCTTGTGACTGATCCAACTAGTTACTGTTTTCTTATATATAATATGGAAATTGTGTTGTGTATTATTGTGTTAATGTATGAACAAAAATGGCAGTTAGAAGCATTTCATGAAACTGATGGAATGGAAGAATTTTAAGGAGTGTGGTTGCAGTGAGTGATGATATGCAAATGGAGAGTAAACAGTGTATGAAAATGGGAAAACTCTGAACACGGTAAGGGAGAGAGATAGTTACAGTAACTTACAATGTAGAACTTTATCTGCTGTTTTGGATTTCAGATTTTTACAGCATATGGTCTCCTGGTTTGTAATGCCATGTGTTGCAACCTAGCAGACTTATATTCCTTATCTGCTGTTCCGTGAACTGTCACATTTTATTTTCTAAGTTCTTGTATATGGATTTGAGGGAGGGTGAAGTCCATAAATATTTTTTTCTGTATATGCCAAGTTTGTTTATCCCACAGAATACTTCATAATGAAGTGAGGAAGTTAATCATTATGCATACATTGCTTTATTAATTTACATTTCAAATATATATCCCATATTAACTGCTGTAATCTCTTTTGAATGACACTGGCAAACTGATTTAATCTTGGCAGTAATGGGATTTATACTGTCAAGAACTGTGACACTAGGCCTGGTACATATGTGTTAACATGATTTTCCAGTCATCAAGTAGAATTTATAATATGCTGGCTGACTGACAGAAAATAACACATGTATACAGCAGATTTTTCCCCTGTTGATGGTCACAGGGACATATGGGTGACAGATCTCAAGACAGAACATCTGGTTCACTGGTGCTGTATATTGTACAAGGTCTTACTGGTAATGCCCAGAGCATGAAGAGACACTGAATTTGATGTATAGCATGTTTTCATGTATGTCTTACATTTTACTGTATTGTAATTTGTAGCAAGATTTTTAGATAATGATATTTAGTTATGCATTTTGTAAGCTCATAATTATAGATGAAATATAAGAGGAAGTTTGAAATGCTTCTTCTTTACATGATGGAAGAAATAAATATATGTATAATCATAACAGTAAGGCAAAATAAAGTTACTGTAGCTTATATTTAGAGCATGTTAAATGAGAGACACACAGTAAAGGTAGTTTCAATTATAGATTTTTTGTGTTGTCAAGAGAATAAACATTTGTGTACACTTCGAATTAATAAGGATAAAAAAAAGGTAATTTAAGGTGAAGAAACTGGATAATATGTAGAAGAAAATGTTTACAGTATGCCATTTGAAAAAATCAATACTGAAGGACATTTTTTGGACCATGTATTCTGTGTATAATTCAGAAAAGTCTGCACTATTCAAAGTGTAAGCTTACATCCCTCCGTTTCTTTCCAAGCATTCCTTCATTAATGATATTCAATCTAATTGTAACTGAATTCAAATATTAAATAAACATATACAAAACTTAAAACTCTCCAGCATTTTGCCATGTACATAGTACCGTGTAATTTTCTTTGTAGCTTTCTATGGTAAACTCAAGGTCTGTACAAAAGATAATCTGTGTCCGTGGTTAAGCTGTCCACAATTAAACATTTATTTATTTCCTGCACATGAGCATACTGAATAAGCAGTTATGAATTTTGTCATATAGTTTCTGGCAGCAGAGAAGAAATGCTATTCACCACTCCTAGCAACAAATCTCTGTTACTTTCTTCAAGAAAATGACAATTAACATACTTTTTCATGCATTATAAATCTTTACAGTTATGGTATATTGAATTGAAAGAGAAATTGTGAGTTATATATACAGGTTCTGTACTTGCCCATGAATTTTAATTTCAGGGAAATCTGCATGGCACTGTAGTGTTATGTACTGTCATTTCCAAAGAGACTGTCACAGTTTTAGCAGACTTAAATTAACAGACAACTTGTTTTCGTTTTTTAATCATTTGTTCTGAACTTCTGATCTGTTGAAGAAAGTCGTTTTCTGGGATCTGGCGCCGTGTATTCTTGGTTTCAACCGACATTTCGGAGGAACATATTGCCTCCATCTTCAGGGTAGTTGAATTGCCTGCGAATACAGATAGCAGTAGCTGCAGTGATTGGGAAGCGAAAAGCGCTGGTTTATATATAAAGTAGGCAGGGGGGTTGGTGAGGGAGAGGGGACCAATGGGAAGAGTGAACAGCGATTAAGGCCATATATGGTCTGGGTGGCGAAAGGGGGGATAACGGCCAGTGAATCCAGGCAACTTGGGGGTCAATGGCATGGAGGTGGCAGTTAAACAAGAAGAACCGGTTGGCTGGGGACAGGTTACTGATGTCAATGACATGATTAACAGGGGACAGGCTACTGACGTCAGTGACATGAAGAAGAACTGGGGTGACTTGGTGGAGTTCTCTTGAGGGAAGAGATGAGAGGATTCCATGACTTGTTGAGACAAAACCCTGTTTCCTTGTTCATGTTGTTCGGATGGAGCTCGATCTCTATGGCCTCCATGATGATCCAAACCAGGTAACGGCTCTTACAGGAGAGTATGGCGGTTTTGTGAAACTGGATACTATGGTCTAGCTCAATGCTGTGTTCAGCTGTGGCTGACTTGTCCGGATGTTCCAGGCGTAAATGCCGTTGATGTTCTTTCAACCTGGTGCCACAGAATGGCCCGTTTGCCCAGTGTAGACCTTGCCGCACTCGCAGGGAATTCTGTAAATTCCCGGTGTCCTCAGTCCCAGGTGGTCCTTGACAGGCTGGAGGATTATATATCTTCTTAGGAGGCAGGCCAACTGATTTGATGTGGTGTCGGGACAGCACTCTGCTAATCCTGTTGAATATAGTCCCGACAAAGGGCAAGAAGGCGACAGTGTCTCTGCAGTCATCATGTTGATTGTGGTTGGGACGGCGGTTGAGGGCCCTGTGGATCTGCCGGTCATTATAACAATTCCGGCTGAAGATGTCATCAGTCTTCTACTTGGATGGAATATTGGAACAGCAGCGTAAGTATGAAATAAAAACTCATCAGCATTTAAGAGCAACAACATGGACTGGAAATCTCGTATTGGATTACATTTTAAAGTTTGGTTCAATTTTCTTGAATGAATATACTTGGGGATCAATCAGGGTGGGTTTTTGACGTAAAAGATCAACTACTGATCATTTTTTTTTCATTCATCAGATACTTGAGAAAAACTGCTAATACAATGAGACAGTAATTAGTTATTCATATACTTCAAGAAAGCCTATGATTCAGATAGGAAGGGAGTATTGTACAGTATTCTTACAGCGTCTGGGGTATCCATGAAACTGATTAAAATGTGTTTAAATGAAATGTACAGTAAAGTCCATATAGGTAAACATTTGTCTGATAACTTTCCTATCCAGAATGGTCTAAAACAAGGAGATGCTTTATCACCACTAATTTTCAAATTTTCTTTAGGATATGCCATTAGGAAGGTCCAGGAAAACCAGGTGGGATTGAAATTAAATGGGACACATCAGCTGCTGGTGTATGCTGATGATGTGGATCTACTGAGAGATAACATAGATACCATAAAGAAAAACACAGAAAATTTAATTGACTCTAGTAATGAGATTGGTCTAGAAGTAGGCGCAGAGAAAACTATGTATATGTTGCTATCTTGTCACCAAAATGTGGGGTAGAATCAACATAAATATAGATAGTAGATCCTTTGAAAATGTGGCACAGTGGAAGTATTTAGAAGAAGAGTAACAAATCAAGTCTGATCCAGAAGGAATTTTAAGACAGATTGAATTTAGGTAATGCTTGCTACCACTTGGTCCAGAAACTTTTGTCTTCATGTCTGCTGTCTAAAAAAGATTGAAATCAGAACATACAGAACTATAATTTTTGCCTGTGGTGCTGTATGGGTGTGAAGCTTGGTCTCTGACATTGAGGAACATAGACTGAGGGTGTGTGAGAACAAGGTGTTGAGAATATTTGGACCGAAGAGAGATGAAGTGACAGAAGGTTGGATAAAACTGCATAATGAGGAGCTTCATAGCTTGTACTCTTCTCCAAGTATAATTATAACAATCATGTTAAGGAGGATGAGATGGGCAGGCCATTAGGAAGACCAAGATTAAAATGGATCTTAGATCGGATGGAATGGAATGGACCGAATTGAACTGGCTCAGGATAGGAACCAGTGGAGGGCTCTTGTGAACACAGTAAGGAACCTTCAGGTTCCTTAAAATGTTGGGAAATTCTTGAGTAGCTGCACAGTTAGTTAATTATTGACAGTAATTACTAGTTTAAATATTATTAGTTGCTACATATTTTGGTTTAAATATTAATGACATTTAAATTAGGAAATAGTAATTATCAAGAGGTAATAATATGATAAAGTGTTATATCAGAAACAGGATAGAAATAAATAAACTTAAAAATTTACTATTTTGCAGCATTATAAGGAATTTTGTATGAAAGTTTAACTTCAGCAGAAAATATAGCATCACCAAATTAGTGGATAATAACTGATGAAGCATGAGGAATCTGTAAATTAAAATCTAAACAGAAAACACATATGCCAGAAACTTACATGTTTCTATCTGCAGACAAAATCTGTGAAAATGCTATTCACCAGACTTACACCTTCCTGGAATCTGGTCCTATCCACATTAATATCATTAAACCATGTATCCAACTAGGTTTAATGGAAAATTCTTATCTCTTTTTGGAGAGCTTGATGCATGGCCCTAAGTCCTCTAACAGTTTCCCGTCATTTATTGGGCTGCTTTCTACATAGTGAAGTAAATAATTTTGTCAGTATAATTGCAAACTTTCATTGCTTAAATCTGCTAAAGAACTGGATGCTGCTACTAAATACTGCAGCACATATGGAACTGTATTGTTCATGAAGACTGAATTAGAAGTGGGGAGGATGGAAAACAACTTCCTACAGGTAAACAAAATATTGTTTGAAGGAAACTGAAATAAAACAAAGGAAAATTAATTTGCATTAAGAATACTGAACATAGGTAAAAGGTAAAGCTATCCCTTTAACAGGCTGTGGAGGCCCATAGGGTTGTGAGACATCGAGGCTCCCACATTTTCTAGACAGTCAGCTCACAGATGGCAATGAGGTTGTCAGCCTTACATGCTGGCTGGCTGCCCTTTACCCCAAAGAAGATTCCTGGTACTCATTTCTATTAGAGGGTGAGTTGACGCCAAGACCATAGTGCAGCTGGAAGGATGAGGTCAATTGAAAAATCCAATGACCTCATTGGGAATTGAACTCTGGACAACCTGCTAACATAAAGTCATACTGTCACTGTGTGAACGTCAACTCAAACGTGGGCATGAGATACAAACATAATGGTTCTCTGTAATTTCAGTTAATTTGGGCCTGCTTGAATCATAAAGAACGTCCTCAATGAAAAGTATAAATCTACAGGGTTCTGAAAAGTTTTTGTCCTAAGTGGGTTCATTGTAACATGGTCTGACCACCATTACATTATCTTTGTCAGATGTCTCACATTTATATGCCTTCTCCTTACTGTGTTTGTGGTAAGTGAACTTCATGTAATGGGTCAATGGATATAGTCAGGTGGTGAAACATGGGGCCCTATATATACTTTATATAGAAGAAACACACACACACACATAAGAAGGGTAAAGAATTTTAGTGGAAAAACAAGAAACAGCAGCTCAGATGACTAGGAAGTAATTATTATATTTGAACATCATATTGTATTTTCAATTAATATGCATATGTATATAATCAACACAGCCCTTGTATAGAACTGTGGTCAATTACATACAAGATTTTATTTTTGCAACTTGTTTTGATCATATGTTTTGCCTTCAGGCTATGCTCCTTTCATTAAAATTATTGTTACTGTATTAAATGTTGGCCAGTGTCTGCATTAGCTTAATTTAAACTTATATATTCTCATGTATTTAATGACTATAGATTGGTGAATTATTTATTGACCACTTGTGTACACAACTTGGAAATACAAATAATTACAGCACTATTGCTAATCTCCACAATTCAGAGATCACCACAGCTGTTCCATAGCTATGGTTTCTAATGGTGGATATTCTTCAGCTTCCTGCTTTCAGGTTATTTTGTCACAACTGCTTGTGCAGTTGGGATTGTCAACTGAACACTCAACTAACTGGTTCCCAGGCTGGCAGCCATTTCACACCAAATTCCAAGTTTTCTCTTCACAGGCTGACTTCCAACTGACAACTGAACATTCTCACTCACCAACTAGCTACTTCACATCACTTGAACTACAGAAGACTACTCCAGGACTTGACTGAGCCAGCTTATAACATTTCGGCATGAATCACATAGGACACACTATTTCCATTGTTACAGTCCAACAGTCTTGACCATTGCATGTGTATCCGTTGCTGCAGGAACCTGATCACTGATCAGTTGCCTTTGATAGCGCAGGTATTGTTGACATATTTACTGGCCATTACCAAGCAATGCATGTTCCTTCCCATGATCATTGCATAGCAACGGTACTACATGTTACACCATAAATTAAAGTTAAAATGACTGTGATAAAATCATAAAGAAGGTTGTGCAATTCAAATTACTGTAAAGTGATCTGTTTTCTTGGGTATAATGCTGTAAACTCTGATGAATGTCAACTGACATTATGGAGGAACATGTCCCCTCATCTTCAGAGTAAAAGAATAAGCCAAGCAAGAAACCAGCACAAAAGCAGGTGGCTACCATATTATTGTCTTCATTTAATTACATTTTGATGTCAAAAAGCAGTTCCAATGTCTATTTCCTTCCATGCATGTTTACTTGTTCATTGTTATTGTGCTGTTTTACTTGATTCTATGCAGACTCTGCTGATTTATCCAGTTATATCATGATTATGTTTCGTTGTGTCTGTTTGTTATTAATGTCATTGTTCAGGATATGATGGTTGGTATTACTGTCAGTATGAGGTTGGATCAGTTACTGGGTTATGGACTTCTTACAATTCTGTAACAACCCACATAATTTTATTGTATTAATTTTAACCTCATGATTTTATACATGAAAATGAAAAGATGTAACATAACTTGAAGATGATTGATATGGTCAAAATATGTTGCAAAAATAAAATAACTTTATGGATCTGAGCCCTTCTTGAGAAGCTGCCAGTTGTGCAGCTACTCAAGAACTTTCCAAGATTTTATGGAACCTGAAGGTTCATTACCATGTTCACAAGAGCCCTCCACGGGTCCCTACCCTCAGCCCGATAATTCCAGTCCATACCACCCTATCCTATCTCTCCAACATGCATTTTAGTATTATCCACCCACCTGCACCTTTGTCTTACTTGTGGTCTGTCTCCTTCTGGCTTTCTTCCCCCCCCCCCCCATTCATGTTACATACCCTGCCAATCTCATCCTCCTTGTCTCGATCATTCTGATTACACTTCATGAAGCTCCTAATTATGCCGTTTTCTCCAACCATCTGTCACTTCATCCCTCTTCAATCCAAATAATCTCCTCAGCTCCCTGTTCTCAAGCACCCTCAGTTTATATTCCTCCCTGTCCCATTTGACCTTCTGTATGTCCACTAAATCGAACTTATGTTTTGATATTTTCTTCAAAACTGTCATGAGTAAACCTGCCCTTACAGACTTCTTACATTCCATGTACCAAATCTCAAATAAAATACTGTATATAATTGACCACAACTGTGTACAAGGTTGTGTGGTAGACATATACATATGAATAAAAATGTAAGGTGATCCCCATAACAGACCATGGAGGCCCATAGGGTTGTAAGAGGTTGAGGCTCCCACATCTTCTAGACAATCAGCTCACAGTAGGTGGTAAGGTTGTCAGCCTTAAGCACTGGCTGCCCTTTACCCCCCAGAAAGATTCCTGGTACTCATTTCTGTTATAGGTTGAGTCAACCCCAGGGCCACAGTGCAGCTAGGATTAGGTCAACTGAAAAATCCAGTGACCTTATCAGGAATTGAACCCATGACTTTATGTCTTGTAGCATAGTGCATCAACCAACTATGCTACTGCATACCCCATGTGTATGAGTTTATTTTATATTAATTGTGACTGCAGTGTACATTTTATATGGTGAAACTGTATTTCTCGGAACAAAAAAGGTATATAATATATTGCTGATATGTAACTGAAGAGACTGAACAACAGAAAAATAACAATAGATAATATTACACATTGAAATAATTAATATTTATAAAACAGTGACAATCATAACGTAGAACAAATTATATTTGAATGATACACTTCTTACAGTAATAGAATAATTAATTTTGGTCAGGTTTAAATTTGTTCATGTTGATATGAAAACTATGGACACCTGGCTGTTATTACAATAATGTATAAGTCAGCTTTGTAGCTATAATGAATGATTATGAATGAAAGTTCATGGATTCCTTCATTACAATAGATATCACTATACGTGCAAGAATGGTTATATGCTGCTCTACTCTGCGATTAAATGGCAGAAGTGAGAATTAATAATGAGCTAAGTCAGAGCAAAATGTATACAAATGAAGTCTGAATAAGCATAACAATATAAATGTCCTGCAAATTGCATTTTAGCAATTGTAAAATCAAATTATATTCTTTTACTTTTAATCAGGACAGGCAAAACTGATGGATTATTTTGTTAAATCTATAAGACAACTACAGCATATAATTCGATAAGCCTATTACAATTAAGTGCTCCTTGATTTACTGAACAACTGATAATTTAACAGAGCAGTTTAGTTCCCAACAGTTTGCATACCCCAGATGTACTTTTGTGTCTAGTAAGATTTCCCCCTTGAGTGAACTCTTTGTTGCACATGTCACACTTATACGGCTTTTCTCCAGTATGAGTACGTCGGTGCGTCACAAGATAACCACTATCCGAGAAAGACTTATTACATATTCCACATTTAAACGGCTTTTCCCTTGTATGAGTTCGGAAATGTCGTTGCAAAGTTTCCCTGCGTGAAAAATTTGTTTTGCACAAGTCACACGTATATGGCTTCTCTCCTTTGTGACTGCGGCGATGTCTTGCGAGATTTCCACTGTGCAAGAACGTTTTACTGCACATGTCACACTTATATGGGTTCTTGTCAGTGTGTGTAAGAATATGCAACATCAGATACTTTTTTGTAGGAAATACCATTTTGCATACTTTACATTTATAATATTCTATTTCACGTGCAGTCTGACAACTCTTATCGCATTTCCCAGTTTGACTACTGGGAAAAGATTCAACAGGAAATTCCTGCTTAGTCGGAAAATTGAAGTCAATTTGTGCTGAACTGCTATCACCAGCTGAGTCATCCTGACACACTGCTAACTCTTCCAAGCTGTAACAGAAACAGGATACCACAAGCTATACAAGTCCTTTGTGTTCTCTGAAAAATAATTTTTTCCTTCCCTTACATAAAATCTCTTGATTAACAATAATAATCACAAGAGAGACATGCTAGCTAAAACCAACCATCATGCAGAAACATGGATACTTCTAAATGTACAAATATATCTTTGGAAAAAGAATACACGAGGAAATTGTTCCATAGCCCCCTCCCTTACTTCTTCAGTGTAGAGAATCTAGAACCCTATTCTGAAAGGAAACAACACTCACGTTTGTAGAGACACTTCCTGTTCCTTGTTTGATATTTCAGACTTCCATGAGTCTCCGTGATCTGTAGTATCACCACATATCTGCCCAGTGAAAGAGAAATCTGATTCAATATGTGTAGACAAGACAATCGGTGATGAAACACATTTCACATATTTACATATGAAATGGGTAGTTAATGCAAGCCACACTTCATTATCTGTGCCCTTTATATGCTATGTACGAGTTATCTTGCTTAGATGCCCTTACCCTTCTGGTCTCAATTTAATTGGTGACTAAGAAGACTGGTGAAAGAAATGTGTCTCAAAGCTGAACACAAAAGTGTGTGGCCTTTCAATAAGAGAGATGTGTCATTAAAGAAAAAACTGGCAGCATAAATATCTCCATGAAAAAGGTTAAAAGAAATTCTGTTATGAATGCAGAACAGAGAAAATGCAACAAAATATATAAACAATTGCACTGATTTCTTTACAACAAACTTTTATTTGATTCCAACAAGTTTCATGTATGTGTATTTTGGTGGCTTGTGATGATTACACTTTCTTACTAGTTCATCACTGCTCTCAGGGTCCAGCTGAGTTCCTCCCTCTGACATGGCTCTGCGCATCGCTGCAAGAATGCTGGATCTCTCCTTGGTGCTTGGAGTGCTTGTGTTTTCAGTAAGTGCATCTTCATTTGTTTCCAAATCAGAAGTATGGCCTGACATCTCTTCAGATGACTCCTATACACAACATGATGAAGTCACATTTGAAACTCACACCAAAACAAAGTTCAAATTCTTCTCTTTGAACCACAGTTCACTGAAACTCATGGAGTTCAGGATTTAGTGATAGTAGGCTTTCATGAACTGGGTGAACAAAAGGGTCCTGCAAAAGCAGGAAATTTTTTGACTATTTGCAAATGAGTTATATTTGTTGATCTTGGTGCCTATGTACAGTTAAGTTTTCATTCCTTAATATGTCAATCTCTCCAACAGAAGTGATTCACAGCTTCTTCTTAGGCTGGATAAGAACAGTCTTCCTACTGCAAATAGATTCTTTAGACACTGCAGCCATAAACAGAAATGTTGTATCATATGAAAAATATCAAATATTCTACGTTCCACATGCCGGTCACAGTGGCCATGTCATCTAACACATGAAATGTCTTCACCTGCTCAAGCAATGGGATCATGGGTTCGAATCCCACTTGAGGCATGGACGTCTGCGTTTATTCTGTTTTTGTGTCACCCTGTTTAGGTAGTGGCCTTGCAATGGGCTGATCCCCTGTCCAAGAAATCCTACTGACTGTCTACAAGATTAAAGAAACTGATGTGAAATGGCATATCATGGATGCCCTATGCTCCAGAGAAACAGAATCACAACATAATTCCATATGATGGTAAACTATCCATGTAACAGGCCATGCAGGCCTACAGGGTCATGAGATGTTGAGGTTCTCATATTTTCTAGACTTTCAGCTCACAGAGGTTGTCAGCCTTAAGCATCAGTTGCCCTCTACCCCCTGGAATATTCCTGGTACTCATTTATGTTAGAGGCTGAGTCAAGCCCATGGCCATAGTGCAGCTGGAAGGATTAAGTCAATTGAAAAATCTAATGGTCTTATCGGGAATTGAACCCACGACCTTCCAGCTTGTAGCATAGTGTCTCACCCAACTATACTACCATGCACCCCTTCCTCATGATGGATTTATTCAGTTCTCTCTCTCTGCCTCTGCCTCTGCCTCAAATGTATGAATTCTTTTGTCTTACTCATAGGTGTGTGGTACTTGCATAATTTAATTAACATCTACCTAAACATCTCTTGACAGCATGTAACATCTTCAGCAGACAACCCAATGGAAGAAAAGTCCTTCACTTTCAAAATCTTGGTTTGGCAGTTTTGATTACCAGGTAATGACACACTCTCAAACATCTTTTACACACAGTATAATACACTGATATTAACACTTTGCAGACCGGCAATTTAAATATTTAAATCACCCTGGGGACTGGCATTTTTATACCTACTACCCTAACTTGTGCACTGTTCACTTTAAAAATTAATACGATGGGGTACCCAAAAGAAACAGAACTAATTTTTTTGTGGGCAGAGCTTTTGTAGTACCGCGTTTTGCCGCTATGAGCGCATAGAGCTAACATTCCTGAGTTGATAAGCCGACTACCGTTGCTTCAGAAGGTAAGGACTAGGTTCAGCAGAGTTTATAGTGACAACTGTTTTGTGTGATCGTCATTCTTGCAATGGCTGATTTTCGTGAACAGCATGCGGCGGTGAAATTCTGCTTTTTGCTCGAGAAAAGTGCAACAGAAACTCTTGAAAAGTTAAAAACGGCGTAAAAGGACGATGCTAAAGGGAAAACTCAAGTGTTTGAATGGTTTTCCCCGTTTCAAAAATGGTGAAATGTCAATTGATGACAAACCTCGTTCTGGTCGTCCTTCCATGGCCCGAACACATGAAAATGTTGAAAAAATTCGTGAAATCATCAAGGAAGATCGACGACAGACCATTGTTGTGGAGCTGTCGGAAGTGACTTGGAGCTCAGTTCAGCGAATTTTGACAGAATATTTGGGAATGAAAAGGGTGGCTGCGAAATTCGTGCCACGACTGCTGACTGCTGAACAAAAACAAGGTCGCGTGGAAGCATGCTGTGCTTTGAAAGAAGAGTCCCAAAATGATCAAAACTTTTTTTTTTCAAAAATTATCACCGGTGAC